CCGAGGTACTAAATTATTTTTCGAAATCATCATACATTACCTGAAAGTACCTCTAATGTAATTGCACATATGTTCAAGCACAATACACCAATGAGATTATAAATATTTCTATAAAAAGTGACAACTTAATTCTAACATTCAAAACTGTTTTGATACTCCTACATTTCATTTTCAGTGTTATTTATCTAGTATATTGACGAACAATATAATCTATTTTTTGCAATGATAAAACAAAACAATGAGAAAATATTGAGAAGCATATCATTTGTTAACATATTTGACAACATAAGAATTAGAATTCCATTATATGACGATACTTTTAGTCATTTGTAAAGTTTATTATTATGGAGTCATGATTAAAATATACATCATGTATACAAATTTTTAGATTTTTTTTATTATTTAAAATTGAAAATAAATAATATATGATCATTATTTATGACAACTAATTTCTTACAGAGTCCATATATTTAAACGCTAGCAACAAAAAAGTAGTAATTTTAAAAGACTTTTTGTTTATAAATATTGGTATTCATACTTTTCTAAGAAAATTAGCATGTTTTCTTTTTCTCATTGCATTACTATTATATTATTTGTTTCTTATTCTATAGACAAATAATATTTTATTTGCTAAGTAACTAAAGCACATTTATACGTATTATGTTATTTTTTATATGTGTTTTATGTAATGATGGTATCAAATTATCTTATTTATTAGGCTACAATTAATATAATCACATAAGATTAAATGTAATTTAATATATTTGATAAAGTTGTACTTTTTATACGAATTATTAGATTAAAAAGTTTTAAAAATTTTTTCAATGTTTGATAAAATATTAATTAACTAAGTCATTTTCATTATCACTGAATACATATATGGTACCACCATTATAGGATTCATTTCGCAGCAGTAATTGACTACACATAGCTAATGTTATTTTATTTCCTTTCTCTGGCCTAGCCTTTCCTTTTATCTATGACTTCACATTACTTCGCTTCGTTTGTACCCTAAGGTGCATTTGACATAGTTTCAGCATTACGACAAACTCGTGTCAAACATATATCGGATTTGGGCGCTCTAGCCAAAACGTCGGAACAGTTAGAAGTTTATACCCATTTTTTTTTTTTTTTTAATATGAATTGTTTCAAATTTATGTATGGAAAACATACCACAAGTTTATCTTATGTTATTTTATACTTAATAAAATTGATTTAACTTGAATATAAAATTTATTATATCATATACTTTAAGAATAATTTATTATTTTAAATTGGTACTGATATACATATATATATTATTTTATATCAAAATAAAAAATATTATATTATTTTTATTTTATTGCAATATATGGGTCAACTCAAACATCATTGAAAATAAATGATGTGATATATTACATATAAAAAGGTAACAAATAAAAAATATGAAGTATTTGAAAATTAAAAAATTTAATGATAGAAAGTAATAAAAACTTTAACTAAAAAATTTTTAAGATTAACATACCCACTTTTAGATAAATATACATATGAAAATATATATATATATATATATATGTATATATATTATGTACTTAAAAGTTCTAGTTAAAATATATGTGTATCTTAAGTATGTTTTATATTTATCATTAGCCAGCTCCAATTGATATTGTACATTAAGTAATTTTATCAGCATTTTTACTTTTGGATTTAATGAGAGTTATAAGTTTTGTCATCTTTCTTACCCCTTATTTAGTTATTACAATACTAATAAAATAATTAAGGACCTTTCAAAGCATCTTGTTTGTTTTGAAAAAAATTAATTCTTATCATAAATTGAACGCCAATTACATTGAATGTGTTATATTTTCTATCGTGTTAAAA